GACTGTACCAGGGACTTCAGAGGGGCCGGGATAAGAGGAATAAGAACAGCCCCTCAGAAGTGATGTTGGGACAGACATGGAAAAGCCCATGAACTAAAGGAAAAGTGCTTTCACATTCTATAGGAGTGAAGCAGGAAGCAGGGGGGCTGCCTGGAGCATGTTGTAGATGGCCAGTGCCCTAACTGGAAAGTACAGAGAGACAGGTGAGGAAGAACCCAAGGCCAACGTCTGGCCTGGGACAGGTGGGCTCATTCTCACAAGGGCTTGTTTGGTTTTTTAAAAAATAATTCATTCATTTATTCTTAGTTTTCACCATTCACTTCCATAAGATTTTGAGTTTTAAATTTTCTCCCCCTCCCACTTTCCCCCCTCCCCAAGTCAGTGTGCAATCTGATATAGGCTCTACTTACACATTCCTATTAAGCACATTTTCCCATTAGTCATGACCTAAAGAACCATTAGAACTAATGGGAGGAACCACAAAAATGAAGCAGTAAAACACAGGGCCTTGTTTGAATGCAGGTCCACTGTCAAGTTCAACTTTCCAAAGAGGCATCTCAAGACTTCTTTCCCAGCCCACTTAAGGACAAGCAGTCTATGTCTTAAAGTGCTCCATCCATCCCAGTGAGTTCTGTGCATTGCCCTGTGAAGCCGTCTCATCCAACCAAGAGTCTGTGTCTGTCTTTGAATACGGTGCTTTGTCCTTACCAGTGGAAGGCAGTAATACTCTCCATTGAACCCATTGTCCTGGGGTTGTGCTATACTGACCAGCCAAGCAGCAGTCAGGTTAGCAGTGCCAACATACGTGGCCCAGAGGTCTAGCTGGCCCCAAGCTTCACACCATTCCTTACCCCCGTCTTACTTTCCATCTTGGCCATATCCTGGTCATCCAGCCTGATGCTGTTCCCTCCAGAGCACAGGACCTTCTGAGGTCATACCCAGGGTGACTTAATGCAGTCAGCTTCATGAAGCAACCATGGACAGGGCATATCCTAACAAATACCACAACGGTTAGTGAAATCAGCACTCCAGACCATACTTCATACCAGGTCCCCTCCTGTGTGGACAGCTTCTCATCCATCTTGCCCCTGCTATGTGCCAACCCCTCCCCATCTTTCCATCTCTTGTTCTGGGAGTAGGAATCAGATCAGTACTATCAGTGCCTCTGCACAGGGCATGCCAGCTGACTTCCTCAGGCTCTATTCGCCGTGAGGTCATGGGGTTAGAGGCTGAGAGCTAGGGGGAACCTTTGAGGTCATCTATCCAACTCCCTCATTTTACAGATGAGGAAACTTAGACCTGGAAGGGTTAAGTAGCTTGGCTATTGTCACACAGACAGTCAGATGAGAGCATGGAACTCAGATTTTCCTGACTCCAAAGTCCAGATCTCTCTACCATACATTTCCCCAAATATCTGCCGTCCTATTCTCATGACTTCCCAAATCAAAACGCCATTCCCTGGCCATGACTCCCCTTTAATTTCTTGTTTCTGTCAGATTGTAAACTCCTTGACGGCAGAGACTGACTTGCTCTCACTGGATCCCCAGCCCTTAGCATGGTGCCTGCCACATAGTAAATGCTTAATGAATGCTATTCGTGGATAAAGAGAAAAAAAATAATAATAACTAACATTTATAAACGCTATGCTGAGTTCCTTATGAGTATTGTCTTATTTGATCCTTACAACAACCCTGTGGGATAGGGGCTATTATTATCCCCATTTTACAGGTAAAGAAACCGAGGCAAACAGGGTTAAGTGACTTGCCCAGGGTCACACAGCCAGAAGTGCCTGAGGCTAGATTTAAACTTAGGTCTTCCTGACTCCAGACCAAAAAAGAGAGATTTAGGTTCCACATTGGAACAGATTTCCCAGTAATTAGAGCTACCCCCAAATGAGGTGGGCTGCCTCTGTAGGGTTAGTGGGGTCCTCTTCCCTGGAAGTCTTTAAGCAAAGGCTTTGCTATGTTGTGGTTGTGATTCTTGTCCAAATTCGTACCGGACTCGTTGACGGCGGAGGTCTCTTCCACCAGATAGTCTGTGATTCTGTAGGGCAGGGACATATTTGTCACTAGATTCTGTGCCCCTTGGAGCCAGGGACTGTCTTTGCCCTCTTTTGCATCGTCAGTGCGTAGCATAGTGCCTGGCACATAGCAGGTGCTTAGTTGATTGAGCATCACATGCTCATTTCATACAGAAGTTGTTGAGGTCAGATGGCCTAGAGAGCTTCCTTTCCCATTTTAATATTTTGTAACATTTTATTTTTTTACTTTGTCCAGTTTTATGCAGCCAACTTACCTGTTGGTTTCTCGTTACATGAAGAGATTTTATGGCACGTTGTTAGAACTTAAGAATCATTCTTTAGAAGTTTTATTGGGGAAAGAAATAGCATGATGTTTGGATTAATATTGTGAAACACTGCTTGAGAGGGGGCCAGGAGAGCTGTGGATTTGGAAAGAACTGAGCATTTGACCTCTAACTCTGTAGAGACCCATTGGCTTGGATGCGTCATTGAAAACACCATTGGCGTTTACCTGCAGCTGTGCTTGCTTAAGACCCCATTTAGGACAAGCGCTTTCCCTATTTTCTGGTTATAGCCTGGGATCAACATTTTCAGTTAAGAAGGTGGAAGTCTGGACAAAGGGACTAGATGAAAAGCACTTTTACCTGGTGTTTTTCATTCATCATACATCTCCTTAAAATTCATTGGAGTATTTGGGGTATTGATGCTAATTATTTGGCCATAGAGCTCCTGGGAAAATATTCATCTTGTCTGTGGTGCTGGTGGGGAAACTGACAGTGTAGTAATTGTAGTAGGATTCCAAGATCTTTCTTTCATTGGTAACTGGTTCAACAAGCCCACTTCAAAGACTGACATCTCTGTTCATTTTTGCCAAGCAGACTTCAGTATAGATCAGTTATGTTCATTTTAGGGCTAGGGCGTTTTTTCTTTAGTTGATCTGATTTGTTCTTAGGCAATAATCACTTCTTATTCAATACTCTCCCACCCCTTGGTACTTTCCTCCTAAAAATGTTATGTTTTTTTTTTTGAAAGCTAAACAAAACCAGCTGCCCTAGTGATTGCAACGGACAATGCCGGTGGTTTACCATTTCCTAACAGAATAAGGAAGTGTGTTGATACCAGTCACTTGGAACCAACAGTGGCCATTGTCTTTGGCTGAGTTCCTCTGTCTCATGGTGTTGTCTTTGTTTAAATGACTGTGGCCCCCGTGGCCACTGGTTCTTTGGTTCTGTTTTCCTACCCCGGGCCAGTGTGTGCAAGTCTTCCCATCCATCTTTGTGTGCCTCACATTCATTGTTCCTTGCGGTGTAGGAATATTCCATTACAATCTGGTGCCACAGGTCGTCCGCTTATTCCCCAAATGATGGGGCCCAGACATTTTCACCAGCTCATTTTACAAGGAAATAGCAAGAACTGAGAAAAGGAAGACCAGCTTCCTTCTAGTGAATGTGACCCTTCTACGTTACCATATTATCATCAAAACTTACAACTATCAAGAAGAATGCATGTAATTATTCAAGCATCAAGAAAGAATAGTTTATCAATGAGCACTTTAGAATCTCCTCTGATTTCTAAGCAACAAGAAAGAAAGAAAAATTTGTCAAGAATCTTTCTATTGTATCAGAACACGCATCCAGCAAACTAGGACATTCCGACTGAAGGGAGACAGTCCTTCAAAAGAACAAGCCATGGGCTAATATACTTTTTTCTGAGATGAAGCTGGGAGATCGTGTATTATACAGAGCCAGCCTCAGCATCAAGAAGACCTGGTCCCAAGTGCAGTACCATCTCTGACCTCCATGTGACCCTGGACGAGTCATTTCAGTAGCTCAAGCAACTGTCGGAGACTATAGAGACCACAGTGGATCCGGATCTCAATTGGCGAAGGGCGCTTCCTCACGTGGAGTTCCTTACTTCCATTTAAAAAATAATAATAATTTGTAAAAGTCTTTAACTGAGATAAGAAATTAATTTCTTTAAGAAATTGAAGAGAAACTCCAGTTGAGTAGAGTCAATACAACCCGGAAGGAGGTGTTAGCTGTGTTCTCCCTGGGCCCAGCCAGCAGAACTGGGAGCATTGAGGGGAGCTGTAAAGAGCTCCATTTAGGCTTGGTTTCAGGAAAATCTTCCCAAGACTGAGAGGAATGAGCTGTCGTGGATGCCACCATCTTGGAAATCTTCCAGCAGGAGCTTGGGGACCTCTGGGTTGAATGTGGGGTCATTGGAGTTCCTTTTCAAATCCAGGTCAGACGAGGCAGTCGCTGAGGTCCCCGCTTCCTCTAGAATCCTGCTTCGTATCTCCCAAATTAGGAGATGGTGGCAAACTGATCCAGTCAGGTCGTAGAGGAAATTCAAAAGTTCTCTCGAGGTTTGGGCTTTGATTTATTTTTTTTACACGTAAACCCCCAGGACCTTTCTGGGGGGGTTAGAGAAGCACTCTTGAACCCCATTTTCCTGGACTTAACTCTGAATTGAAATCTTCTGCTTTGTGGCACCCTGGCTTGCTGCTCTGTCCCTAGGGCACATGCTGGACAAAGTTGTGGAGTGTAGACAAAATCTAATGACAGGAAGAGGCTGCTGTGGACCCTTCTCGGAACCCCAACAGATGCTGCTGCTGCTGCTGCTGCTGCATCGTTCCCTGCTTCTGCTCACTGTTCTTGTTGGGGGTTCCCATAATCTATGTGGAGAGAATCCATACTGAGGCCCCATGTGATGGGAACCATGGTCTATGTGTCAGATGTTCTCTATTCTGACTTAGAATTTGATCAGTTAGAATACAGAGGCATCGCCGTTTTGTCTTGAACATCACATGATGGGGCAGGGAAGGGGAGAGAGCTGGATCTTTGCTCGATTGTTTTTATTTGGTGATGTTTTGCCACATCGCTTCTCGCCTGTGTTGTTATCTGCTGGGCTGTCACCGCTGGTGGGAAGGCAGACCCTTTTCTGGGTTCCCCTTCAGGCTCTGTTCTCCTTCATCCAGGTGGTTGTGCTACCATCCCAGAGCTAGACCCAGAGGAGAGAACAACTGAGCAGGACTCAAGCAACATGTTTCCCAACCAGAGGCACCTGGCCACCCAGACCCTCAAGTCAGGTAAGAGGAGGGAAACCCTTTGCCAGCCCTAGCCCTACTCCCCATCCCCCAGCAGACCTGATGCTGAGCATTTCTCCCAGTATTGGAGAAGACTTTGCCAACCTGGATGACCTCAACTCCCTATCCTGTTTCCCCTTCATTTAGATCAGGGGTTCTTATCCCTTTTTTGTACCAGGACCCCTTGGGCAGCCAGTCTGGAGAAGCCAACAGACACTCCCTTCTCAATGTAATGTTTTTGAATGCCTTAAGTAAAATACACAGGCTTACAAAGGAGACCAATTATATTGAAATACAGAAATCAAAATGTAAATTTAGTAAAAATATTCACAGACCCCAAGTCAAGAGCCCCTGATGTAGACCCAAGTCGTTGGATCTTAGGACTCTTGCTTCTGCAGCTGAGATTGGCCACCCTGTTTAATTTCTTCATTATTTAGTGCCTCTTCCCCTCCTTTCTTTTCCAGAAACTTCTCCCCCTGCCACATTTCTGGAATAATCAGAATGGAACGATCCAGTTTGGCCAGATGGAGACCTCATGCCACGTGCAGAAGCAGCCTAGGGGTGGTCTCAGGCTTGGAGCCTACTCACCTGTGCGAGGGTGGCTTTGGGTGGAGGTGGGAAGGAAGACATCAACTCTAGGGAAGGCTTTGTCATTGCATGTTGATCCATTGGAACTTAGACTCTACTTCTCTTTGGGGAAAGCAGTGTTCTCACCTCCTTGTGCCGGCTTTGGGGGGATGGAAGCTGATGGCCACACTGGAGACAGTTGGTTCACTGCTGAATTCTACAGCCCGAAGGTTCCTATCCAGAAAAGGCACCACTGTTCAATAAAGCTATGGTAGCACGGATTTCATTTGCCATCTGAGGCTTATGTTAGCTGATGTTTGTCCAACTTCCCCCATCAAAGGGAAAGAATGCTGAGACCTCTTTGATCCATCATAAGTTGTTAAAACAATTCTTTAAAAACACACGAACACAACCTTAGAAGGTCTTCATGGTTTAATGCAGGCACCTCTCCTTGAAAGAGGTAAATTTTGTGCTAGCCTGAAAAATGAACTTTCCATGTTTTCAAGGTATGAAAAATCAGCCTGCTGCCATTCCTTTTTCCAGGGCCTCCTTTTGTAATAGGGACTCACAGTTCATAATTAAACTTTAATGGATTCAGGAACCAGAGAAGTTTCCTGCCAACACTTTGGGGTTGAAGCGACATGTTCAAAGCCATTTTACTCCTAAGTAGACATGTTTACACTCGTCTCGACCCCCCAGACACCCCACACTGTAGGGAGGGGAGTATATAAAAAGGTCCAGTAAAAAATTCACCATGGATCTCTTTTTTAAGGAATTGAAAACCAGCACCGACTATATTAACTATTTTTTTTTATTTCTATTATGTTTCTTTAAAGGAAGCAAAAGTTATTTAAAAAAACAAATTTACGGTTAAACATTGCTTAGGCCCGAGGTGGGACAACTCCACCCATCAACTTTAATCACATCCAGCCCATGGCGCATGTACCCCAAGGTGATGGCCCCTCTTTGCCTAGCTTGGCAATACCCTGCAGAACCACCTGGGGGATGGCACGTCACAAAGCCTGCCTGTTTCCTGTGTGGATGAGCCTATGTCTCGTCTCATCTCCTCCTTTTTCTCAGGTGTATTTCTATGCAAACCTGCCTGCTCTCCCCCCGCCGTGAATCTTTCTTGTGACTCTCCTCTGTTTTCTTTTCTGGTGTGTGTGTGTGTGTGTGTGTGTGTGTGTGTGAGTGTGTGAGAGTGTGTGTGTGTATGTGTGTGTGAGTGTGTGTGTGTGTATCTCTTCTTGACATGATGCTTCTCCCTCTGTACGTTTCTATCATGCATCCCTTCTTCTTTCTTTCCCCTACTCCCCTTCTGCTCTGGGCCCTCGCCTGCCTGCGTGTCCCAGTAACCCCCACTCCCGTCCACTCCTCCCCCTACTGCCAGATTCATTTTCTTTGTAGCCCTCTCTCTGTCCATTCATGTTCCTTCTGCTCCAAACATGTCAGCGGATTGGTAAGCTACCAAATAGAACTCAGACCCCTCAGCATGGCATTCAGTGCCTTCTGCCATGTAGCACCACCCTAGCTTTGCAGCCTTGGTGCCCAAACTCACGTGTATGTTTCCTTAACCTGAAGGGATGTGTAATGAATGCTACTGCCCCCCGCCCATCCTTGGGGCAAAGCAAATGGTAGTGTCCAAGCATCATGCTCTTTCCTCTGAGTTGTTTTCTTGATTTCTTCCCTACCCTGCTACCCTCTTCTCCCAAGTCTGTCTTCAATTCATTGTTTGGTCCACTAAGACCCTCTTTTCCAGCCTGGAGCTGTGGATTTGGCCTCACAGACTGTTGAATGCCTGGCTTTGAACCTGCCCTGCTCTCATTTTGGCATTGCATATTGACCTCACTCCTTATCAGCCGATCAAACCAACAGTCACAGACATTTTCCTCAGTGCCCGCTAAGGGCCAGGCCCTGCTGAAATAAATAAAATAATGTCTACCCCCAAGGAGGTCCTTTGTCAGACGAGTCTGCTGACCCAACATTCAGACGAGTCAAAGAGCTGTCAACGTCCACTCTAGGTCTGGGCCCCATCAGGGTCCAGACAAACATCGTGGTCCTTGCATACCACATCTCGGTTTGGGTCCAGCCAAACAGAACTACTTGTCACCCCCTTGTTTTCCCATCTCTGTACCTTGGCTTATGTTACTCCCTGGAGCTGGGATGTCCTCTGCCCTTCATCTGCTCACCCGCCCCCGCCCCAGCGTTGGTAAGGGTCCCCATGCCCATTTCTTACACAGCACCTTGCATTCTCCTATCTTCATCATGCATTCTTTTCTTACTGTAGTCATATGTGTATCTGTCATGCCTCTTAGTAGAACATAAACCGGGAGGGCAAAGACTAAGGCATGTTGAGTCTTTGCATCTCCCTTCAGTGGAAGAAGCAGAGTAGATTCTTCAGAAATATTTGTTGAATGACTGAATGACTGTCCCCTGCATGTGGGCTGTGTGACTTTCTAGTCCTAAACCTTCCTTCCCTTTCGTTTCTTTTCCCAAGCTATGATATAGAACTGAAAAATATGGGCTTATTATTCGTTAAATGTATTTTTAAGTTCATTGTTCTTAATTTTCAAAGTGCACGAATGGAATATTTTGTACTTATTTTTATCTCAAAATAAAAATAATATGCATCAAAATCAGCAAATTCCGTTTCTTATCATGTGGGGCAGGGAGGCTGAGGACCTGACTTGGAATCCCAGCTCCACCACGGGTGACCTGTGTGACCTCGGACAAAGCTCGTCACTTTCCTGGGCCTCAGTTTCCTCAGCCAGACCAGATGGCCTCAAAGGTTGAAATCTATGAGCCAGTGTGACCATTGCCTTTTCCTGTGGGTCAGTGACCTTCAGCATAATAAAGTCTCACCGCCCCAGGGAGATGGTGTTTGAGACAATTCTCTCTCAAACACCATCTCCCCCGAGCTCTTTGCATCACTTGGATTATAAACCCAGGTCTTCTGATGTTGAGGAGTTTGCTTGTCAAAAGTTTGGTTTGGAGATCATTCTAATTAACTGAAAGATATTAAAGTCCTAACGAGATGACCACAAGATTCTCAGCTAGTATTTGAATCACTTTAGAGTCAGCATTTCCATTTACTGGCAATATGTGTCTGATCCCTTTTCATTTTTCACCACTTGGCCTCTCAGAAGGAAATGTTAATGCACATTTTTGAACGATGTCAGATGTGACATTTCAGTGTTCTAAAATAATTGGATTGACTGGACAGAATTGCTTTTCTAAGTGGCCATATGCCAAAGGGCATCCTAGATGTGGGCCATCTAGCTTTCACCTGTCATTGATGGTGCCCTGGTGCAACATTTACCAAGCTCTCTGCCAAGCAGAGGGGAAGGAGGGGTCAAGAATCTGATTATAACTCATCCCACTTTTCATCAAAACTCTCCTACGTGACAATATTCCTTCCCATGTGACTTTGGCTCTATTTAGAAGTTCTGGAGGGCAGGACCCTGTGTTTGGATTGTCACGTTTCAGATGGGAAGAGGGCTTTAAGCGGTCACCCGACCCAATGCATACTGAGACAAGAACCCAGGCACCAATGGTGTCCCCAGCAAGTGACCATTCAGCCTCCTCTTGGAGGCATTCATTCATAAGGAAGCCAACCATGCAGGATGACCAGCTTCCTTTCTAGACAAGTTATTGTCGGGGATTTTTTCCTATCGAACCAAAAGCTGTACCTGTGACTTCTATCTACTGCTACTAGGCATGCTCTTGGGGTCCAGATACACAAGCCTAATCAGCACAACAACCCTGTAGGTACCTGAATTTATCCTTTTCTCCATGTGCCATCTTTCCTCCAGCCTATTCATTCCCATTTCCCTAAGACAATGCAAACATGGGATGGTTCTGAATTCTTTCAACATCCTTGTCATCTTCCTTCTGGGAGGCTCCAGTTTATCACCCTCTTCTTAAAATGAGGTGCCCAGAACTGAACACAATGCCCTCCTAATAGGCACCAAGCTCCCGATGATAGAAACCAAGGTGGTATTCTTTCACAAAGGTGATGGCGAGGCATCACTGAACTATGAAAGGGACCATCACTGAACAGAGGCTATTCCCCTGAGTCTAGAAAGGCTATCCTTCTCTCATGCTCATTCCCCAGGTGGCAAGCCCATGGTCTCACCAGGAGAAGTGAATGAACACCACACACCACTCACGTCTTCTGATCAGCTTATTTAAGAGTATGTTACAACTGACCAGATCCCAAGAGGCGCTAAAGGTATGGGAGCATTACTGTTTGAGGTGCCTTTACCCACGCCAGTTCTGTGTTCTCTGAGAAGAACATTCTGTCCTGACCTATGAACGCCAACAACCTCGGCCAACAACCAGAGCCAGGAGCTACCAAGTGTCCGTAGGGCAACAAGCAACGTGGGGGCCGTGGTGCATTTCTTTTGTCTTCTGTGCCCTTCTGTGGGGCTGGCTCTGAGGCTGAATTCTTAGTCTCTGCTTCAGAGCTTCTAGAATTTTGATTGGTGGGGAACTGGTATCTGCCGCTTCATCTCTAAGCCTGTTCCTTGAGATGATGGAATGGCAGAGACTAATGGTCTCTCAAGTTTATCAGCATATCCTAGAGATGGGAGCCCACGGACATTCCCTTGCAGGTGGTGTGTCTTGGAATGGGGGGCCGGCAAGGTGAGGAACCTCAGATGCTCAGGAATGCCACAGGCAAGAAAAAAATGGCAATATGTAGCCATGCCCGTATGCATGTGTATGGAATGATAATGATAATGATAATGATAATAATAATAAACATCTGACCAGCAGGAAGCGTCAAAGAATTCTGTGCATGCTAAGACAAACATCTCTATCTTTGCTGCCCTATGGACGGAGAATTGCTTTTGCATTTTCATTATTTATGCGTATGTGATCGGGGAGACCAGATCGAGTGACAGCCTTGGAGGGAGGATGCCTTCAGTGCGAGCCTGCCCCCCGACATCCTAGCCGTGCAACCAGGACATAGAATCCTTCTGCCTCTAGGTGCTCCAGCCTCCCTGTGAGACTCAGTTAAGACAAGTCACCAATCTGCACTGGTGGAGGGAGTTTCCATATGGAGAGGTCCCTATATGAATGAAATCACAGGTTCAGACCCTGTATCTGTGATTTTATGTACCCCCATACACATATACATAAGGATGGAAAGGGTGATTTCCTAACAGCCTCATCTAATACAGGTCAGCGCCTTCTATGCAACAGTCTTTAGAGAGTTATACTTGGAGGGCAGGTGACTTGCCCAGGGTCACAGTCAGTATGTATCAGAGACAGGACTTGA